AGTGCGATAACGTTATATTGGTAACATCGAGCGTAGCATGGTAGCACTGTCGTTTACTTATCCTAGTATCAATATAAAACGATTATCAATTGCTTATAATTTGATGTTACCAATTAGTTTACACTGCTCTCTAAATTTTCTGGAGTGAATCTCACTCCAAAAGAGTGAAATCTCACTCCAAAAGAGCGAAAATACTGTCACTCGGCCACTTAAGTGGCAGTATTTTCACTCCTTAGAGTGAAATTTCACTCCAAAAAATTTAGAGAGTGTATTATCACAATCAGTTATTATACGAATAACTGCGCTTCTGACATTATACTTTTTTTGCAAAACTATTTTATTTATAAGCAATCTCTTTCTCTCTCTCTCTCTCTCTCTCTCTCTCTCTCTCTTTCTCTGGTTCGAATGAGAGTCAAGGTATAATTTTCACTTTAATTACATGTCTTCATTGCAACCAATCGCGTTTTCAGCTCTAATGTTTAACGTAGGAAAAGGGAGGGAAATAATAATCATCGATAAGCAAGCGCCGCTCGAGCTCCGGATCGTTAATCATTTCTGCGCGTGTAAATTAATTCCGGGACGATAATTATGCATTTATGCGAGTACGCACAAATTACAATCACGTTCCTGAGGCATAATGCACATGATTCAGGTCATTGCGTCCTACTCACCAATTATAATGCGCTTATATTTAGGCGTTCCTTCATACTTGCCGTTAGAAATGCATATGCACACGGGCAAGCGGATTTACATACGATATATAATGCAGCCCTAATAATGCATTGTGCAGATTGATAAATTAAGATTTCTCTAACAATTTCGATACAGTTACGTTTCCACCAGTTTCTGTAATAATGTGTCCCGTCCATGTACAAATCGACAAAAAGAATGTTCATTTCGTAAATTTATATTTGCATTTTTCATTTTTTCTACGTGATCATATCTTCTTTCCCATCAGGCTAACAATAGTGACAAAAATAATTAATTTTAATATTTATTTAGCGCAATATTCGACACTAATAAAGTCGTAAGAAAAAGAAATAATTTTATCGAAATTTGATCACAAGGCAGAAGTTCGACCAACTGTCTGCTCGCTTCACGTCCGTTCGCTTGATTTAATTCATGATTTTCGAAATGCAAGTCGGAATAACCCGAGGTTCGCCGACGCAAGCCGATATATTCCCATTAACGCAATTATCCTCCGTTCAACTGCTACCTACCGGTTGTCCACGTTATGACGAGGGCATTGGAATCCATTAATACGGCTTCGGTCGCGCGCAGGTTCATTATCGTGCATTAATTAGCAACACCCTATATCACTGGCAATACTATCGGTCCGGCTTGCTATTTCGTGGCTAACCACTGGCTCGTGACGTCCTGACCACGCGATAGCAGTCCGGCTTGATCCGATAAAAGACGACGGTTTTATTTGCCACGACAAACAAGCGGGAAAAAAAACCGCGTACAATGTTCGTCCGATATTTTTGCTGCCGATTTGCACGCGTATCACTACCGGATGTTTGGCCATAAATCTAACAATCCTGTCGGTACCAGGTTCAGATAGACGTAGTTGCAGACACGATGGATACAGCTTTTACTGCTGAGATATTTAATAATGAAAGTTAATAAATGGCGAGATCTATCATTGTGTGTACATATGTATGCACTAGTTATATATGTAACTATTAGAAATACTAGTTATATATGTAATTTTTAGAAAATAAAAACTCAAGGGATAGTAGTTTTAATTCTCCTTAAGAAAATAAAAATATCACAAAGTTGCACTAATTAAAACAAAATTTATGCGTTATATTACAAATTCAATCCATATGATGTATTCTTGAATTCTCGATCAAGAATAATTCTGTTTAATTGTGTGCATGTATATGTATACCAGTTCAATACAAATTTTTAGAAATGTTTTGATATAATTTAGAAAATGTTATTATTTATAGTAAATGATTTTTCTTTTACGATCAACAGAAGGAGTAGTTAATGCTTCGCGAAACAAGAATAAGTGGACATTATCACCCCTACTTTTACTCTATTTAAATCGTGATTCGTGAAACGACACACTCTTTGCTCATCAATCAGCGCCAATATTTCGGTAGTCGAGTGCCTTTTACGTCCGCTATTGGAATCCGGATGTGGCTACCGAGCAGCCAGCGGCTCCGGCTCGAAACGAGCAATGTGAAAACTTTCGTTTCCGCTCAATCGTCAATTCTGCCAACAAACGAGAAATGATACGAGTACCGCGGCGCGGTCGCAATTTCGGTGGAAAAAGGGCCGCGCTATACCGTATACACACGATACTACGTATAGCCATCGCGAGCCTGCGAGATCTTCGCATTTTTGAAGCGCACGTATAGCTCACAGTTGGAAATCAAGAGTCTATAATTTGTACAATTTAAATATTAAAAATCGTGTTTGAAACGGTACTCACGCATTCCACTTTTTATATTCAATTTTCTGAGAATGGCACAATTTCTTGCATGAACGATAAAGGACCTGAAGAAAGTGTATACAAGAGAGAGAAATTGTAAAATAAAAATAAGACGAATGAGGAACTGTTGCGCGCGGAGAGTCGAAATGGAGAATAACTCGAAGAAACAGCGAAGAGCTCAAAGGAAAGGAGAGAAATCGTTGGCGGAAACGATACAGAACGAAGAGAGAGGAAGGAAAGATAGGAGTAGAAGGTAGGAAGAGGTTGGAAAGCTGGAGGAGAGAGATGCGCGTGCGAAAGGAAATGCGAGACGAGGAAGGACAAGAGAGAGTGTGAGAGAAGCAGAGAGAGAGAGAGAGAGAGAGAGAGAGAGGGAGAGGGAGAGAGAGACAGAGGAGTGCGACCAGAATTGGATAGGATAGGCGAACTGGTGATTACAGAGGCCGGGGATTCCCCGGGGACGAGCGCCGGTCTCCCGCGGGCTTCCACCTAATTCCATCCTGGCTGACTACTGACTCTCCTCTCCCTCTATCTTCCTCTCTATCTATCCCGCGTACCCATTTCCTCTCTTTCTGCCCTCCAACCGTTCACGTCTGCTGATGTCCCGCTCTCCATCTCCTTCTCTTTCTCTCCACTATCCTTTACGGTGAGAGACACGCTTTGTCCTCCTTTTATCCTCCACGTTTCATCAACCCTCACCTATTTCTCTCTCTCTCTCTCTCTCTCTCTCTCTCTCTCTCTCTTTCTCTTTCTGTTATTCTCTTTTATTCGCGAACACGCGTCTCCTTTCTCTCGTCGTCTCTCTTTCCACGTTTATTTGTCTCGCTTTTTGCATTTCTCTCAGTCTTTATTCTACATTTATGACTCGCCTCTTTCAGAGCATTCACCCTCTTCGTCTAATCTCTTTCTCTCTCCTTCTTTCAATCTTTACAGTCACTGTATTTCGGTTATTCGGTTGCACGTACGCGCGTTCTCGACCTGCTCCAACAATCCAACATCCTCCGCATGACGCTGGGGCAGAAGTTTCGACGGTTTTTGCCGTTCTATTTGTCTCCGTTTTTCGCTATTCACCGTGACGAATTGACATACAAACGCTGCGTTACTCGATAATTGATATCGTTAAAATGAACAATTGGCTAAAATAAACTTTTCGTGAATGGAGCAATTATGTATTTTTCAGTTTTAAGAAATTAACCGTAATTTAAAAAATTAATAAGATTATTACAATCAATGACTATAATAATATAATTTTATATAGCAAATGACAAGTTCTTTGTTTACAATTGTGATAACTCGATCACAGGTTAAGAGTTAAGATACTTTCATAGAAAGTATTTTTAATCAATAAAAATGAATAATATGTATGTGTAAGTAACAAACATATCAATCAAATTATATTGTAACGACAAAGTTTTCAATCTATTTTCTCGGAAATAAAATGTCAAGAACTCGGGAACGAAAAATCTTTTTTTTTTTTAGATTATTTACTTGCTGCTTTTTAAATCATACTACAAACCACGCTTTATCTTGTGTTGCGCCAAAATAAAATGTAACATAATATTACAACGTACGATCATGAAATGCAAATGTACAATCGTTAAAAAAAAAAAAGTAGAATCCTCAAGTTTTAAAGTTGCTCAAATAATATTGGCCGTTTTTGTAATTACTACGGCGTTACGGTAGACTTTCTGCAACAATAGTGACTTTTGGCACTCGTATCGTACGTTACTTTTATGTCCGGGGCACACACGGTTGCACGTGTCTGGAAGTTTCACGAAGCACCCTTTTAGCCAAGACTTCTTTTTCTCCCTCCGCACAACGACGCTCTCTCTCTCACACGGACAAGCACCTTGCGACGAACTTTCCTATTATTCGCGTATCTTCGCGACACAAATGTGAAAGCTCATAAACGTTAATTTCACGAAGCCGCCTAGGAAACGGTGGATTCTCGCGTTGGTGTTATTTTGATTTTTTCCCCCTTCGCGTTTTCCCGCGCGCAAAGCTTCCCTCCTTCCCTTGCCATTTTTGTTCTCCTTCGATATGATGAATCGCGAAGATTTCTAGTATTATCATGAATTAGAACTATCTGTTATTTTGAGATTAAAAGCATAGCGCATGACGTACCTACTTTAACTTATCTCGATTTGTATAATCCCGCTGGGTAGAAATAATTAGTCAATTCTCGACCAATCACTTTAGATTGGGGTGTTTTGTAATCAAGATTTGCGAACGAGTAATGACTTGTTTTCCATAAAGATAGAAATAATTTTAAAAGCTATACTTCACACAAGACTGCGTACGTTAAGAATCAGTCAACCCGCAAACACGTTGAATATAATTGTTATTGAGATATTTTTTCTGACAACAATAGATAAAATTAATAACGAAGTTACATGCTAACTTACTTATATCGCATGCTCAATCTTTAATTAATATTTGTTGTTGATTTCATTATTTCAATGCAGAGAGGGGAGGGGGGGGGGGGGAGAGATATCGGGATGGCTACTAACATCGAATATTCATACTGAACAAATATAATGTTGTAATAATGACTTACGTTTAAGAGATCGAGGCTTTGCCTGCTTCCTCCTGGACATATCACCTGCACTGGCACGCACTTGCGAATGTGGACGGGAGGGACACGGAGCGGGGATCAATAGCCGCTCCTCGCCGTCGACATGTCACTCGCGCTCGTCGGGAACTCGAATTTCGACAGGTTTATTTCCGTATATACGCAACGACGTCCTCTCCCGCGCCGTCGAACGGATTTTCGCGATCGGCGAGGAACGCCGTGATCGCGAGGGCGAATGCGAAACTCAAACGCGCGTGGAGGGAGGAAGGGCGGCGTACGCGTGAAATTAGCTTCGAAGGTTCGCGCGCGCCGCGCGATCGGGAATCGAAGCGGCCGCGCGGTACCACGTGGTCTGCGGCGCACGGAACGGGCGTACAAACGGGTGGCGCGCCTCGCATACGGACCCGGCGACAGCCGCGCTCGGAGGACGCGCGACGAATGGACGTGGGTCGCGCCGCGCCCGCGGAGAACCACTGGCGCGCGAGCGTCGCGCAAGCGTGCGATCCGCGCGCGGCCGCCCTGCGCGCGACACTCTCGTCACGCTTTTTAATTTAATTCGAACATTTTCGGCAATGAAAGATGTAAACGTATACACACCTAACCGGAGGATATACTTCCGCGATTGTTCTGTATGCGATCTTTCTGTGGATGGCGCGTTCGTGGACGCGTAACTATAATGCATTCCTGCACGTATAAATATAAGAACAATTTATGCGTTGTCGCTCTCGCTAATAATTGTGCTAATAACACAATTTTGTATTTTATACAATTGTACAAAGTACAAAAGTAGAATATGGATAATATACGGGAATTGAGAATCATCGTCGCTTTATGCTCTAGATTTCGCGTCGTATATGTCATGCTACCTGGAATAGATTTCTACTTTATCACTGACGGAGTGGTAACGGAATACGATAACACATCGACAGAGCGAAAGGGACAAGGGAAATATCCACATCGGGAGACAGGAGACGCGGTAGCGTCTCCCTGCCAAGTTATATACTTTTCGTGATAAATATTTGCATAAGCGTTTAAGTATATATAATCCGCAAAACCTTGTATTTTTAGAATTAACCAAAATCTGCCAAATCCTGGCAGTATTATGCGAAGTATCGCTCGATATTTTTCTCGACGTTGCCAATACTCTACCCCCTTTATTTTTATATATATATTTATTAGAATAAATATTTTATTTATTCTCAGTGACTAGAGATTGTAATTCGAATATAACGAGGCAAATAATTCACGTTGCCATAGTGAATCATACGTTAAATACGTAAAATACATGTATATATTTATCCTAATTGGAGAAGTTGCGATCGGAGAATTTACGTGAAAAATGTTGAAATTACTGCCGATTACTACCGTAATTAATTGACGAAACATTTATGCAACGCGTCACTGATGCCATGTACCGTCCAGCAACGTCGACGCTACGATCGCACGAAGTACACCTAACGAAACTGTCGCATCTTCGCGCTATTAATGATATTACATACCCTACTGAGGCGTGAATTTTCTGTTCCAGTGTGTTGGGCGTGCGTCTAGAACGTCGAGGTTGAAGAGCCTTTAGATTAAGTATCGTTTGAAGATCCCAGAAGTACCCAGAGGCAAGCCAGAATCCGCTGCTTTGGCGCGTATGTACCTACGCGATTTCGGTCCATTCCGCGGATGCATAGAAAGTCAATCGACGTCGCGATACCACGGCATCCAGCAGCAATTCTGCACGATGATGAATGGCGTTGTGGTTGAACACTTGACACTTCGCGACGAGTTGACCTCGCGCGCGAAACTCGCTTTCACGAATCACGGGAAAACGTACACGAACGACGCGACGCGTTCCGTTGACTGACCGCCATTACAAATCTGTCGATATAGCTGCGATTCTCGAGGTAGTCACTGAAGATTCCCGAGAGGGCGTTAGTGCACGGTGGTACGCCGCAAGCTTTTCGAGTGAATTTTCACAAATTCCGCTACGTCGACGTCTTTGATTTGATATTACCTCGTCACTCTCGTCAGTGCCGAGACGCGTGTTTATCAATCTCTCGTATGCATGACATTTCATCGCTCATTGACGTTATCATCATACGTAAGCCAACGAGCTTTTTCACTTTCCATTTTCCGTCTTCATTGCGTAGGTTAGGATAAACAACGATGTATGTAACTCGCTAAAATACATATTGCAAATAAGCAGAAAGAGAGACTAATTATATTTCAATTTGATTTCACATTCTTATTTTACGTCATTGTCTCTTCTGTTTATTTCTCCCCTAATTTTACGTCGTGGCCAATACAGAACGGGTGCTCCTTTTGTGCTTTGCAGAAGATGCTGGCGTTGGAGCGCATACCTGATCAAATCGGATTCTTGGTACTAACCGAGGACGGTGCCGTGTTGACGGTAAGATGCAGCTTCTCCGACAGTGCGCCTCCTTTTTTCCTTGTAACGGCAAGTAGAATCTTCCACATTTGTGTTGCAGTCCGGAGGAGATTTGGAGAATGACGAAAGAGTGGCAAATATCATGAGCAGTTTGGTCACGCTGACGAGTAAAGTTGATCCCAAGGCGTTCCCCTTGCACGATCCCTTCGAGAAGATATCGATCAAGTACAAGGATCACTGCTACGTCGTGTGTCTCTCCAATAAGAAGATCTACGTGGTGAAGAGGAAGCTGCCGGCTCCGACCGCGGCGATCGTCGAGCAGCAGCCCGTCGTCGATGTTTAGACACACGAATATAAACGTAACGCCCAGCAAAAACAATACATCTGTTCTTTGTAAGCTTTGATATCCGACACGAGTTCAACTTCTTCGATCATTACGAGAGATCTTTATTCACTGTTATGTATCTTATAATAGGAATATATGTATTCTAAGAATGAAGAATGAATTACAGTGCAATGTAGTTTTAGGAAGCATTACACGCCTCCGTTATGCGACGGCTTCTTTCGATCTTTCGTAAAACATCCTTCCAGCATGTAACTTGATGGAAAATTATAGCTACGATCATTCTCGAGAAATATATTTTTTATTAAAATACTTTTTGTATTTCGTTACGTATTGTGCCGCATCTTATTCCTGATATTAGTGCATCTTGTGGCAAAACTTAGTTTTTTGTTTCTGTAACATTTTATTTACAAATATATTATATACCGTACATATCACTTCCACGAGATAGGTACCTAAAGTTCTAAGTGTCACTATCGGTGCTGGAACTGTCGTAATTGACCAGAGATGTGCTCGAGCTACTGGCTTTGGAGGTAGTAGCGTTATCTGTTACCTCCTGTACCTTTGGCGATTCCTGGCTTTGTAGTTTCAATCGGTCATTCGAAGAAGATATTTTTTTTCTATTTTTATACCGTACAATCGAGACTAACCGTTTCAATTCCGTGCCACCTTTTTTCCTTGCATCTGAAAAGAAAGAATTCGTTAAAGCATAAGTGTATAATAAAATGTGCATTTTAGTTCGCTTAAGTGCTGAATAACCTACCTTTTTTGTGAGCGAGTAATTTTGCCAGTTTGATGTCATCCTCATGTTCGTTTACCAAGTCAATATCTAATCCAGTCTTTTTTAGCAATGCATGATCTCCGGCTTGCTTCTTCTTGAGCTCCTTTTTCTTTTCCTGTAATATGAAATGCACAAGTCAGTTAATTTAATTTATTATTTATAATAAATACATTTCGTGTAAAAAAAAATTATAAATAGTAGTATTATAAAAATAAATTTGATGGCTATACCCGAAATAAAGCTCTCACAGCACAGTTCGAGCTGTAATCATCCTTCCAGACACTCTCATTCAAGGCTATTGCACTTTCCAGCGCTGTATCTCGAGACTTCGCTACTTTCTTATCTTCCATCCCATGCTCCAACTTGTACATTGCATCGTCGTACAATCTGCGCGATACTTCCTTCGTCTCAGGTACCACTTGCTCATTCTGTTTAGGATCCCATCGATTCTCTTGACGTCTCGCACCGCTCACTATGACATAATCCAGATTCTAAAAAGGCAAAAGAAAATATTAACAAACATTAGCAGGCAGATTGTAAAAGCAGTGGCAAATTAGTAAATGTAGTAAAAAAGCAGTAATCGAATTTGCAATGTCAATTACAACTTACAGCAGGATCTGTTTTTATTTCAAAGTGATTGTCACAGAGATGACACTTCATGCGAAATTGATAGAGCGGGGTGCTGTAGTACATTCCGATCTTCTTCTTCTCCGCGTTGTATCTAACACCCATGCCAATGTGATTCCCGCATCCGTTGCACCATATATTGTAGGGCATCTCGAATCGTATGATCAAGATTCCCATGTGGATCTTGCGGGCTCGCTCACGCAGCGCGTGAGTGCCCAGGAACTTGTTGAGGCCACCGGCACGGGGATCATAGTCCGGTGGATAGTACAAATTTGTTCCCTTCCGTTCTCCCATTGTGCTGTAATTTATATGTAAAATCAGTTAGAAATATAAATATCTAGTGACATCGACTACAAACAATTATTATATATACAGGATAAATATAATTTATATTAAAACAATTTTTTTCTCTTTCATTATCACTTGTATCTACTTGTACACTGTAATTGTACGTAACAATTATTAGTAAAATAAAAATTGTCATTATACCTTAATTGCTTTTCAAAGCTTGAGAAGAAAAATAGGTGGAGTTTCTTGAAATAATCTCCCTGATGAGCCCTGTGCAGATCTCACTGAACGTCTGACTCCGACGTTCGACGTATTTCTTTCACCAAATAAAATAGGTTAGGATACCACCAGTACCATCAGTCCACCAGAGAGAACACGACGGCCTTGTGCAACTAACGCCCTCTGAAGAAGTGGTTGTAAACTACATAGCAACATTCACTTTTCTGCACCGCGGGTATACGATTTGTGGTGCGTGTCCGTGCTACATCCACCTGATCCACATTTCAAGATTGCTGGGGCTTTATTCTCGAAAAAATGCGCACTCGAAAATCATGTCCTCTCACAGATTACGAATATTTCCGGCGAGTAACACAGTCTTCGACTTTGTTCCATGTTATGTATATTGGTTGGTTTTATTCCGTGCTATGTGTGTATATATACGTACATACAAAATATATAAACTGTATGTGTAATAGACAATAGTATAATGATAAAGTTATCTTAGATATTTCTTGATGGAAGTCTAAAAGTATAAATCTTTTCAAATGCAATTTTATACTGGCACTTTTTATTTTTATTATATTATATTACTTAATTAAACTTAGAAATTTTCTTATACGTAAAATATATTTTCAATTTAAGAATTTAAAATTTAATAAAAACGCAAGCCCTAAGTGAAACACGAAAAACGTACGTGTTTATATGTACATTATACATACAATAAAATATGCAAAAATATTTTTTCTCGCTTATTTTTATTAATCATTGTACTTTGTATTCGTCCGTCTTTATTTTTAATATACATATAAATAATCCGAACAATACTTTGACGATTAGAAAATGCTGAATCTTTATCTCTTGTTTATACAACATTCGAAGTAATACTATGGATTAGAAAAAAAAAATATTAAAACTTTATTGGATTTTATCTATGCCCGATTTTTTCGCCATATATCGTGCCAATTCAATATGCAAATAATTCTTTTCTATTTTATTTATAATAAACTAACAATAATGAAATAAGATATAAGGATAGGTTTAGAAATATTTTGTTAACAATTGTTAATATAAATAAAGTAAAATTTGATTCGTGAGCGCAATATGTAAGAACTTTGGCAAATAATTGCAAGTTATATCGAAACTGAATTAGTAATTTTAACAGAGATGTCGCTGGTAGTATCTTTTTGCAGCGAAGCCCGCGAAGCGAAAGTGCCCAGAAAAGAACAGACAAATCCCTCGGAATGCTTCAGATAGTGGAACAAGACATCATCTGTCACAATCAGTGGAACAAGTCAGTTCTTTTTTAAAAAACCCTTTTTAACACTTGTTCTTTTATTTGAGCATTGATCACGCGACATTCAATTTGCACCCTACGAAATTTTCATGTGATTTTCAACATGGATATTTCTATAATTTCAATAATTTTGACGATTGTGGGTTTTAAATACATTTGTATAAATAATTAAAATCGAGGTTTTCTAACGTAAATATATTTCCCTGTACAAAATTCAGATAGACGTTTAATATAAAATCGTTTTTACATTTATTTATTTTTTTAAAGAAATTAACAAATACATAAGATACTACGACCATTTTTTTCATGGCTTATTCTGGTGTCCCCTATCATGGGCTTCATGGCTTATTTTGGTGTCCTTTCAAGACTTACGTATATTCGATCGCGAATGGCGAACATGGAACTTAGAAAGTCCCTCAGAAAAATTTAGTGTAAGTATTAAATTGGTTAGTGATATTTCAGATTATTACATCAGTTTGAGTATTAAAAGCATTATTCGTAGCTTTTAATATTCACTGTAATGTTAGTGTTTTTAATACTCAAATTAAGTAATATAATCACTAATCAATTTAACACTTATAGTATTACTTACAGTATTACATTTCTCTAAAGAGTCTTTATCACAAATTAAATAATTATACAATCGCAACGGTTGCTATATAATTACATATGTTAGAGATGTTATTTCGTTAATATTCGGGTTCAGGCATTCTGGTTTGCCCACAGAAACCGCTCGTTTCTGTCGACAGACCGAGTTGTATACGGAGCGTCTCAAAAGATAACGGAGCATCTTCAAATCTCCGCTCCGTTCAACAGAAGGGTCTTTCGAGGCACACAGTATAACTATACGTACGACACACTTCGGTGTCGTGAACTCTATGTGTTCCAACGGTACACAGGTATATCCGTCGGATACGTGGGCGGTCTTTTGTGCTGGCTCAGAAACGTATCCAGTAGATCCGCTTTCGCCGATTCCTTTCTCCCTCGTCGTCCCCATCGTGTGTGAGCGCGGCCGGTGACGAGAGAGTTCTTATCGTCCATAAGGATACAGCCATTTGTACCTGTATCTGGCCGGACGTGGATAATACGCGAACGCGTAGACTGCAACAGAGAGCACGGTGCATACAATAAAATAAATACCGATGTCCTTTTTTATTGTTTACACATTGGTATATTAATCTGTCACGAGAATCACAGGAATATATATATATATATATATTGGAAGCTTTCCAGCAGAGACATAAATCTACACGGAAATTATTCCACCTTTGTCTCTCACTGAAAATTGAACGAAGGCAGAATGAATCCCATGTCTTTTGTTGAAAACTCATTAATCTCTTTAACCTACCAAAACTAATTTATTTTGTCAGAACGGAGAAATTGCTCGTTCCTCATGAAGAAATTAAACGTTCTTTATTTGCAAATATGTCTTAATTAAACCTGATATGAATCTACGAGTGTCATTCCGAAGCAATTTTTATTTTTTGATTGCGAATAATCGCAACGATTTCGTATAAAGCTTAGATAATATTAGTCTTATTTGTTTGTCTAGCTTTCAGTAAAAATACGTGTTCAATGTACCGTGTACAATGTATGTATATTTATGCGTAACCGCCTGCATGGAAGTACGTATTTAATTTTATCACACGCGAAATGGAAAAACACGGCGTCACATGGCTATATAATAAATACATCAGTCTAGGTATGCAGTTTCCATTTTACCATATATGGGAGATAGAAATCTCGGCGTCGAAAAATCTTCGTCACACTCGAGGATTATTGTACCTAAGAAATTTTTGGAAAGGAATTATTCACACGCGCCTCCATCGTACTTGTCGCCGACGTCCGTTACTTGCCTCGACCCCTAGAGCCGATGGAGCCTCTGCAACGACGCGTAACGCGCGAGCCGTTTGGCGTACGCGGCCCGCCTCTGGAGGACGTTCCTCTTACGGAAGTGATCCAGCGTGCCGAGTGCCGAGGTCGGTATCAACGAGCCCTGGCTGTGCCAGTAGTAAGCCGACGGCATCGGGTTCAGAAGCGGCACCCTCAACGGGCCGCCGAGGCTGCCGTGAAGGTAGTTCCCGTACTCGGGCTGCCCGTGAAAGTCCACGTGCGGCTGCAGCTTGGGCAGCTCCGAGAGGACGTCCGAATGGCCGCCCAGCAGGGACACCTTCAGCGGCGCGACCTGCGGTTCGGTGTCCACGGACAAGCTCGCGTAGACCGACGAGCCGTCGTCGTGCGGCAGCTTGGGCGAGTCCAGCTGAGAGCCGTACGGGCTCGGGTATTGAATCTGTTGCAGCGGCGGGTATCCCTGCAGATCCAGGCCGAGATTCTGGTCCAGGCCCAGATTCGAGAAGTGTTGATGCGACGTGAGCTGCGGCAGTTCGGGCTGTTGGTATACGCCGTCTTGAGCGACGGGATAACTCTGCTGTTCGTAGCCGTACGCCGGTTTGTCGGGAATACGGTCACCGTAAGTCGGAACCGGATGCTGGGCGGGAGGGTAAGGGTCTACGTGGTTGTTGTTGTTGTTGTTGAGGCTGTCCTGGCCGGCTACGATTTGATCCTTCGAACCGAGGCCCACGCTACCTTTCGGTATACTGTTCAAGAGATTCTTGAAGACGGAGCTCTTGGTCGGGTCCGGATTGCCGCCTTGCACCGCCGCGTTCGTATGCTGATCGTTGTACTTGTCCAGGTCAGGTTTCGTCGGTGTCACGATCAGCAGGCCTCCCTGGCCGTGGTCTGTGAACGTGACGTCACGTCAGTCGCGTCGACAAGTTTATTCGGTGTGCTTTTTGAGAGTGTGTGCGTTAAGTACGAGTTCGTTAGTCAAGTTGGAGCATAAAAGCGGATACTGTCGGAGACCAGTTGTTAGCACGTTGTTGCGCGTGTGCCGAGTGAGGGTATATTGTAATACACGTCCGTCGGGCAAGTGCCAAGTGTGGAGTAACATGACAATTCAGTTCTACATTCGCACGTTCGATACACGGATGGTACACTTACACATACAATGCAGGGAGCTATCACAGGATTTCTCACAATACGGAGTGGAGTGCGTTTGTGTCACGTCCTGTGTAAATTCTAGAGAAGTGAATTTCAGACGTGGTACAAGTGACAACGTGGAACCATCTCTTTACTTTTTAATTAAAGAGTTTCCCCAAATATTCGATATAATCACCGTATTTTGCCCAAGTAATATACTTTCGCTGATGATTTCGACATATTATATACATCATGCGTTACGGAAGTACGCACGTACACACAAAATCGAAAAAGAAATTGAAGAAGTATGTCAGGAAACAGGCTTTACCGTGTAGCCGCTGCATCTCTCTCGCCAACTTTCGGGGAAAGTGAAAGGTCGCGTGTGCTGATACATTCATGGGAAAAACATTCGTGGATCGTGAAACTATACGTTCTTCCGGAAGGAGGACATTGACATTCACCGCGCGCTGCTTTGGCGATGATGACGTGCGATACGGAAAGGGAAATTCGGGCGTAATCGAGCGCATTAACATGTGTTACCGAGAGAAGATCGAAAGTGTCGGTGTTCGAACCAAAAAGCCAAAGGCATTATAATTGTCAGATTACATCGACGTCCGGTGGTAGAATTTATTCGTGAAAGCGAAATTCAAATTGCATTATGACTCGAATAAATTTAGGGATTTAACAGCATCTGCAATTTGATTGTTTCGAAATGCTCGAGGAGAAATTAAAGATTTATTGTTTAATTTTTAAATAATTTAAATAATTTAAAAGATTAAAATTAATTTTAATCCTTTCCTTTTGCTCCATATTAAAGCTCTGTTTTCTTTTCTCATTAAATAATCGCTCAATACAACGGCGGAAATATATTAGATGAAAGCAGTTACACTTATCAATCGCATAATCATTACCCTGAGTTAATTACCGAGATCTTAGAAAGGCACGAAGATACGTGAACGGAATATAAACTTTGCAATGTTACAATTACATATACAGGAATGTGAAACCTACTGTCTGATGGCACGCTGTAGGCCTCATGCGAGAAGTCATTCGGCGCTTCGGAATATTCATCGGAGCCTGGTAGCGGTGGCCCTGAGTAGCCGGGATCGTGTCCTGTAATTTCAAAAGAAAGTACTTGATGACAAATATATCATGCACGAGAAGAAATAGAGATCTCACTTTTAATGCGATTAATCCAATGATTAGATCTGGATATGATTATGAGCACTATCGATCAACAGTAATAGTACATGTTCGCGCTAAAGAACATTTTATACTGATCTATTTCGAGGCTCTTTTATCGATTATAACACTCGATTGTTATCGTTTCTCGAACGGATTCGAGAAAAGCGGATAATACTCAGTTAGGCCTCGACGCGTGATTATCGTGAATGTCCGGCTTTATGGATAACCAGTCTGCTCGTACTAAATACTAAAATGACTTTCTATTTAGACTGCTATTTCTTGATATAAAATGATATATCCTTGATAGATTTTCACGTCTAATCGGCTGAATACGGGGTATACAGGTGAGCGTACAATAGAAAGCAAATGCGTCAAGTTTTTAGTATGAGCGACGTTGTAATTTGCAGGTACATACAAATGCAACTCAGTTTTTTTAATAGCTTTCTAATCGATCCTTTATCATCGTAATGATGGCATCGAAAACCTCGACAAATCCTATTCGATGAAGAGTGCATCGCGAGCAAACAATTGCGTTCAAAATACGTTTAACAATGTTAAAATCATGTATTGTAATAAACGTAATTAATAAACGTTGAAAAATAAACGTTTATGATTTAAATTTTTTAAACTGTTTAATAAACGTTATAAAAAAAGTTTTATAAAACGTTTACGAGATCCATTAAAATTTTTTTACTACTTTAAAACATGTTTATAGACTTGATATATAGTTATGTTATAGTTATGAGACATTTCGATGGTTTAATAAATATACATTTAACGTTAATAACGTCTGTTTAACGTTTTTATGCATCACAAAAACGTTTTTTAAATATAAATAATCTGCTGCGGGATTTTACCTATATGAACCGGTGGATGACCATAATAAGGTTCTGGTGACTTTATGGCGCTGGCCGCCAGCTGTTTACCGAAGGACGTGATAACGTCCCCTGCCTTGCTGACAACTTTACCCTTGCCCGCCAGCAGGTAACCACCTCCCTTGACCAATTGACCCTTGATAGCCAACACGCCGCCACCAATCGCCTTGAGAGCTTCGAACAAGGTGCCAAAAATCGCCTTCTTGAACTCCCACGGACCGAATGGTTTCTCTTCGTACTGAAGAAAATAACGAGATCGAATGTCAAGATCATGATGTCAAATCACAACGTTAAATTGTAATTTATTGCGTAAGAAAATGTAAAACTTCGAAATAGCGGAAGTGATATATCTTTTTCATCTCATCTCACCGACACATCCTTTTCCCATTCAGTTTCTAATTGACGTTGCGTTAAATCGCTCGTTACACCGCATAATAGCTTGTTTAACGTGCGACGCCGTGATTTTCACTTTGCAGTGTCATTTACTTTAATTGCTATGAACGTATCGCGATATCCAAAGAGAAAGATCTTGATCATGAGGCAATTAGAAGCACGGATAATGAAAAAAGGCAAACAGTGAACGAAGAACCAGTTAGAATTTCGCTCCTTTGCGGCAATATGGATGACCTATATCACGTTTCCAGCATAAATAACAACTTTTCCTTTTGACAACTTTGGCAGAGCATTACCAATTAGTCAAACCAATTTCTCTTTTTTCCTAAGTCTCCTGTCTAAAAGTATAATTTTCTCTACGGAAAGAATGATTTTGCTAAAGTGTCAAAAAATTTAGATTGATACAGAACATAATTTTGTTGTATTATCAAAATAATGATGTAAGAACTCTCAAGCTGGTTGCTAGAATGTCGAAACTTTTTGCAGCATTACTCATCATATTTGAATTTCCTATATAATTATTTTGATGCGGTTCAACAAAATTATTTTTAGATCTACATATATCTAAATTTCTAGATAAATTGTTCTTTTCATCTATTTTATTTATTTTTTATTTCTATTACTATCTATTCGTATTAAAATTTATTCAAGTTAAAAGGAACGCGAAGTACGCGAGATGAAAGTTCATACTTGAATATAAATGTCGATTACCGAATAGTGCTCCACTGAAGGTGCACCGTATACCGGTTTATACGCCGACTCGCTGCTGCCCGCTGATGCTTTCGCTGCGGAGCCGCTCGATGCGCTCGCGACTCCGGTTAACACTCCGCCCGCTATGCTGGTGAGAAGACTGCCGGATCCGACGTCGAAGCCTCGCTTTATCCTGTCCCGCATCAGCGCGGCGTATCGCGGATCACTGATAACGCTGATTATCATCTTTTTGTCATCGTCAATTCGCTTCGCCGCGTCCGGCTCCGATTGATCGACCGGAGCCTCGAGCATCTCCCAAGATATACTCTGATCCGCGTCGCCCCTCGTCCCATCTAACTGATTCTGATCCACCATGGGCCTCCACGTCTCCAGGAAACTCGAGAGATCGGATTCTCCGCCGCGGTCGTCCGTTCTTCGATACGGCTCTAATCGCTCCAGCTGTTCCGCGGCCCTCCTCAGCAACGTCTCCTGATCGCTCTCCACGGTTTCTGATCGAGCCACGATTATCGAGCACCACGTTACCATCAACAGTTCCGTCAGCTGAAACGCACGACAAAACGACACACACAAATGCGAAGAATTACAATCAATTCGTAAATTTTTTGAAGCGATTTTTCGTTATATATTAAATGTATAACGTAATGAGAAAGATTATTAAACAAATTTATTTTTTACAAGCGTATGATTATTTATCCGGGGATAGTAGCCTAGTTTTTATTGCCTGGAGTAATTTTTATACTTCAATTAAAAGTCACTATTATTAACTACATGTTGTAGAATTAATTGTTCTATAATTTATTAGTATTTGAGATTATTATGTATATAGATTTACTGTCTATTTTTTAAAAAAGTAAAAAAAAAAAAAGAAAAAACATATGGATTCAATGAAGAAAACAATAGTAACTAATTTAGCAAACATTTTTCTTAGAATTCTTCATATAATTTTTCAGAATTCCTGTATAATTTTATAATTTTTTAGAAAATATCTCAAATTTTTTTTACATAAATTGAAACATTTTTCAGAAACGCTGAGAAAGTCTATATTTGTTTCTCTCTCTAAATTTCCTTATATATGTGAATTTTGAAATAGTCTAAAACTTTTTCTTCTATTATTTCTGAAAAAGTTTTAGGTATTTTTCATAAATCTTTATAAATTTAAAGTATAATATATATAAAAACATTTTTAAAATACTATAAAATATGAGAATTTTTCCACCAGGTTAAATTTTATTTTCTCGCTGCTGGAGTGTAAAAATCACCTAGATGACTATTTCCGGATTAATTGCGATAGTACAACGATATAAGTTTAATGATGAGTGCCCATAAATTGCAGTATTGTGGTTTAGGAATATTAAGCGTCGTTAACGTATTTAATCAAACGGTGCATTTTGAGGGTCAATCAAGTGTTAATTTCCGAATTGCTCGAGCGTATAGTACATGAAAACGTGAGCGTAGCAAGTAGAGCGGTGCTGGGTGAAAGTCACGCGACTACCGGCAATTCGAGGTGCGCTCACCACGCGGATCGCCATACATGACTTGAGGCAAAAACAGCGGAATACTGATGCTCACGCAGATACCGCGAGACATCTAAAACTTAACTGTTGCTAATTAGCGATAAGATTAAAGTTGTGCAATTTGCCTCTCTCCGCGGAACAATTTTGTATTTTCCGTGTTTTAGACATCGAAATCTCTTCCGAGGTCGTTAATCTGTCAAACGAAGTGGAAAAAAAACGAGAACAATTCCGAATTACGAGGAGGGATACAAAAAATAATAGAATTGACGTTGAATAATATGCGATTCCGTCGCATCGGGAATTGTCCCACTTGAATGAGCGAGAGTGATCATCGTAACCTTGATCTTGCATGCGTAGAGTCATCGGCTGACCTAGTTTTCGTTCGTAGTAATCGCTGCGCGTATTCACGGCGATTTCTAAAAAAACCGGTATGCAGCAAACGGACGCTAGTAAATATTCTGACTTCCGTACCAAGAAACAGAGTCGGGCCTCTCGAACGGAAGGCTTTTTTATTCTCAAAAAATAGAAAAGCGACAAAATAAGACGAATCCCCGGTGCAAGGGCTTTTTTGTAGCCACGTGCGAAGTTTTTTTTGCCAACTGGATTATATCATTCATTTGTCAACTTTTTCATCTTCCGTCACGTATCCTGGTATCGGACACGCATAATAGCTGGAAAGTGATCTAATTGGAAAATAAATCCTAGAAGAAGAGATGAAAGCAGTGCGAAGACTAAACTTTCCAGAGTACTTTCGCATTCTATTTTTAAATTTCCACGGTACTTCCAAAGTGTGTAAAAAAAAAATACAATATCGTGGAAAATTTATACATCTTTCTCTTCGCAAATAAAGGCTTGGCAAAATATTAGTCACGTGTGATGAGATCTTCGCGTGTGTTTATCGAGTAATCAGAGAGAAATTGAGAGAGGCAGATGGAATATAAGCAATACTTATGTATGCTATGCACGAAGGATCAACATTGGGGATTATTATAAACAAAATAGCTCGCCGAGATCGGAGTGGAACTTGCCGTTTCGTGTAGAAAGTAAAAAAACTACACGGATCTAAACAAACACATGTTAACATGCTGCAGTAATTATTTCTTCACGGCCTGCAGCCGAAGACTGTGGAGCTATAATTCCCGCATATAATTTTCCTCATTGTTGCAAGTGTGAAACTCGCGTCGACTGGTCTTATACCGAAGGAAGGTTATGCGGCCAGACCTGGTGGAACTTTCACGTGGATGAGAAGCGAGGTGCGCTTGCTCTCGAGCGACGTGAAATCCGCCGCTGACAATAAAGAACCGATCGAAGAAGAAGAAGAAGTGCAAGAGGTCATTAATAAATCAAAGATTATGGCTACTTTTCAGTTGCTCTCGTCGCAAGATTTACGATCCACTTTGCTCTTATACGCGAAAAGAATCGCGAGAGATCGCGCGAAGAGCGCGCGGATTATTTAAATATAAAAAGTTGCGAGTGCAACTTCTTTCGCGGCTCTTCTTTCAGTCGACGCTTAAGTATTCATTGGCACTTCACACGTCTCCACAAATCAAGATAGATGAACGGAGCGGACGCATATGAGAACTGTGAAGCGCGTACCTTCATACTTGACTTTCACGTGGTACGAACGGTGAAATGATCACGGCACTCTCACTAAACTCACTGACCATCGCTACGGAATATATCCTCTCTTTATACCGACTCCCACTTTGCTCCGGTGATCAAGAAAGTGATGTTTACCTTGCCGGGTTGCGGCTGCCAAAAATCGGCGCGTGCAATGCGGTTACGTTACAACGCGCGAGATTGCTTCGTGAATGACAATTGGGCAGAATTTTATCACTTCGTATGTATAATCGACGCCATTAATAAATAATTAAACAAGAGAAATTTTGATATAAAATTGAAATAATTTTAACTTGACATTTCTCTCATATTACCGACGTAGTTTTATAATAAATCGCAAGACGATTTTCACGCTACGTTCTCTAAACAGAATCTGAAAAAGTTAAAAATAAGATATTTTCTAAAATAATGAGAATATTTCTCGTTCAAATTTGTTATTGGCTTGAAGATTAAATGCAGAAAGTGTCTCGTTAAAATCTATGACTTAGCGGTCGCCGTAATATGCTCTAGAATTTTAACGCATTGCAACTCAATAAGTTATGATTAAGTATATGATAAATAATATCACATAACGCTCTTAGAACGCAACAATACGTTTCAAGAATATGTCGCAAGAATGAAAATGCAATACGAACGCCATTAGCTTTTCATCGTATCGTATTGTCAAGTGGATTGCATCGTGGAACCGCTCATTTGCTTTCCTCGATTTCCATCGCGCTAACTTAAACCTGTCACGAAGCATGCAAACCGAAATTCGCGACGCTGAATGCAATTACGCGTTGGGTGCACACTGCGAGGTGCGTTGTAGAAAGGCGGAAAAGGAAGAATTCGGGATGTCGTTTTTGACGAAATTCGAATCACGCGAACGAAAGTTCTCCGGATGTAACGCTTGTCGTCTCTTTAGAATATCGATCTTGCTCATTAAGCGACATCTTCGTCTCTCCACTTTTGTCATATATGTGTATGTAGATTGTAACGAACTAGCAACAACAGTGAAATTAAAGATAAAGACTATATCGTTATTAATTAAGACAATGGTATATTCTTCATATTTATTTTTAATCGTAAATTAATTATTTAATCATCACACGTGAGCCTAACAATTCTTACTTTTGATGCACATTTTCCGCAGTAAATGAAATCAAAACTTTAAAAAGCATGATGATTTTGATTTCATTCATCCTTTACCTCTATTGTTTCTCTGACGATGTGAAGTAGAAAGTATGTCGTTAGCAAACGCCGGTTTATATCTTCCGATATTGTAATTCGCGAGGAGCGCGGGAGCAATCGATTAACCGCGCAGATGTAATTTACGAGCGCTATTATATCCCATAATAACAAGATGATTGCCATCAATTGGTAACCTGTGCATCGAATTGTAACGAACTGAGCTTCGCTCGTGGGTCTCGTTTCTTGGCTCTTGCTGAACGTTGAATTTGCAATCACAAATAATCGATCCAACTCGGATACGCAGTCGAATTTACAATGCGTTTTCGTTGCATGATAATTGTGCATAGAAAAAAATATTTAACAGCAATCTATTTAAAAATAATCTTGTTAATTCAATAATAGTATTAATGAAACAAATTATATTTTATTAAAATAAGGGCATGGCGTACTTATTTTTCAATGCTAGAGATTACATTAATATATGCGCTGTCATTGAATTAATAAGATTATTTGCAATTAGATGCTATTACTTACATACATATGATGTAAGTTTGTAAGTATGTAAAGTAAGTGTGTAAGTTTGTTTGTATCTATATATAAAGCCTCTTTATCCAAAGACATCATAAAATAATGATAATAATTCGTTTCAAGGTACTATAATTTGGTGTTAATAAAAACGGAATAAATTTACTATAACCGTAATTAATTAGATTCGAGTTAATTGCATCTTTTTTTTTAATTTGGTAAATTTTTCCATTTATTATTATATAACTATACAAAATAATTATTTAGAAACGATAAAAATGAGATTCTTAACCAAAGCAGCTCGAACGCGAGTTGTGTTTTCACTTACCTTAGGTAGTCGTTTCGCTTCAAATCTCGACAGCGGTAACTCTTCGTGAACCGAATATAATTGGTTCTGTGGTAATAGCAAATTGCTATCAGAGGAACAAACACACCAATCATTTTGTCATCATTTTCCTACGCCGTACTTTTCTCTCAAATGTAACATGCACTTAAAATTTTAGAGAAATTTCAATTATTATGTATTTCTCGAATCTGTACCTGTTATCATTTCAGTGTAACATGAAAAAAAATCAATGGCAGAATGATGATGAAACTCATAAAAATATATAATCACCGTTAAAGTAATAAAAATGAAGAGTAATCTTTTCGATCTAGAGTTCTGTTCTAAACATCGTAGTTTTAATATCTATTGTTAGCGATATCGTTAAAAACGAATTGCTGATAGTAAGAAAGAAAGAAAAAAAGTCGTGGGGCAATATGAGGAAGCCGGATATGATGAGGCATGTATGAATAAAATGCGTATTGGCATAGTGAAAATATGTAATAAACATATTTTATGCAATATATATATATGAAAATTTATAGATACACAGCATAGCGCTTCGTCACCACCAGTACCACCGCCACTCCCAGCGCCTGCTCCATCGCTAATCAACAATCGCTTTCGTTCGAGATCGAATCTATTAATTCACAACTTGCACGATAATAAAACAATACCTTGTCCACATCTAAGTGGACGATAACTCAATATTTAAAACAGTACTTCGACCAATTTCATTTCTTGAAATCTTATAAAAATAACGTTACGATAATGATAAAAATAATATTGAATGATGTCGTTGTAACGATAAAATTAAAAATTATATAATATTACGATGATATAATTACAATTTATAGTTTTGTAAAAAACAAAGAATTTCAAAATGAATAAAATTAAAATTAAATAAAGATAAATTAATTTAGATTTTTTTACCGAAGTTGACCTATCGTCAACTTGAGCTGCTCCGTCCTTGTGAGAATCGACGAGATGACGTAATGAGCTGTCAGAACCATCTCGCTCATGCAGTTAGGGATGTTAGCTGGACGACAGGAACAGGGCGAGGCGGGGGAGAGGGGAGGCGGCGTAAGAAGTCTCTCTTCTGTTTGCGTTTCACTTTCGAACTAATCTCCATGTTACAAGTGTTACAAATCAGTGCGCTCGACGTACAATCGTACAATCCAAGATTATATCATATATTATATACAGAACAATCTCTTAAACCGCTGATTTTGGATAAAGAACGCGTGATTAAATCCACCTACCGCGATTGGGATTTTCCTCCTTCCGTTTCCGCTGTTTGCTCGCACACACCGTGGTGTTTCATTTCTCCTCGGCCTCGCGGCGGCGCGACGCGAAATTCCGACGTTTTTGCGAGCGCGAGAGAGCCAGATGTAGTCGAAACTCGGAAACGAAATTTCGCTTCAATTCCGTTCTCTCGGGGCACGAAATTCGCTTCGAGCCTCGTTAAACACGCGCGAGGACACGCGTTCTCGGGGGGTTCTGGAATTAAAAAGTTTCAGAATCGTATTCACACACGCGCGAATGAACCAATCGCGGTAGGGGAAAAAGCGAGAGGCGGCTTCGATGAGAGATCGCAGGATTTTATTTTCATCGGCGAGCAGGCGATAGAGATTTGAGAATCTGAGGGAGATCGAGATACCCGATGATACATATTACTCGTGCGTTAGCCACTCAATAGTTGAAGGACGAAGGACGAAAGTCATGCGCCAGGCGATGTCGCGAAGCTCCGACGAAAAGGACCTCAGGCGGATCCTTTCTCGGCGACGGATTTGCACTTCAGCATCCTCTTTTAAGCAATTTACGAAGATTGCTCTCCGCGATATCGAGCTTCTCGGAATTGTTATAGAAAGCCCTTACAGAAATTTAATACCGGAGGATAGTGATTAATTACTTATTTCGAGCATTAAAAGCACTGAACTACAGTGCTTTTAATACTCCAAATAATTAGTAATTTCCGGTATTAAATTGGATTTCTGTAAGGAAGAGGCACACAGAGTGGATCGTATCAATTATTATCGCGTTTAGCAAAGAAGGTTAAGAAGTCTCGACATAATTAGAACCGAACTCTCTGCATTTCGTCATTCGTCCATCATTTGCCGCGTTGGAAAAACTAGTGGCACGCGAAAAACAGCGATGCGTACGCTTTCGTCGAAGTGATAAAAATAATTTCAATGGATCCTCTTTAGTTTTTCTATCCAACTACCGGAATATTAATAACAAAAGCGGGATATTTCTCGAGATGTCCATGATATTTCTAGGACAAGATAATTTTCTCCGTGGGACTTCAAGAGAAAGGAAGTTCCACTGGTGGACTTTTTAATCACGATCCTCCATCGATTATAAGCTATTTCCTTCGGAACGTTTCCTCTCCTTGCCGGTCCCCAGGCTTCGGGATTTGAAAGAGCGACGCCACTTGTCTTGCACAGCACGAATTTATAATTGGGCGCAGATACTATGTATAAAATGTTACATATATTTTCTCCGCGAAGAGCGTAACGCGGTTGCGAAATTTGTCTTTTAAACGTAGCGTCTACTCGTGAAAACCGCTTGCTCGCGAGGGAAGTCGGAGAGTCGTCGTTGTCGTAAGATTCGCGATGCAATCGGTGTCGCCCGAGCGCGACTCGCAATTTCGACGCGAGGGAGATTACACTCGATCACGCATTCTTCCCCTCCCCCGTTTTTTGCGCGCATCGCATGCTCCTGTCTTCGCCAGCCGCGTCTGCTGATCCGCGCGATCGAGAGTGGCCACGTTTGACCAGCCGAAGTCTCTCAGCTTTTCACACAAACTTAATTCTCCCGTTCTCTGCACGTTATTTCCGAATGTCAGAAGAAAATTTACGTAAAGTTCCATACAAAATTTTGTATGTCTTCAATTCAGAATAAAATTAATATCAGCTTCGTATTATTGATATTAACTTTATTCAAAAATGTTTTTACAAAAAAAAGAAAAAGTTTGAATATTTTTCATATGTAATCCTGTGGATGAGCTAGAACGAGAGACTTAAGCGAGTAAAATGCGCGATATTTTCTTGATTTGCCGTAAATTATTTAGTGTGTCATTCAGTATAATAGAGATAAGATAAGATTACGAACACTGCTTTCTACGCGTATCTTTTATCCGACTATAAAAATAGTGATGTCATATTTAGTTAAAGCAACGCCAAAAGTAGATAATTCTCAATTGGCACGGCAGAAACATTGCACTTTTGATACAGCCGCAGTTTACGATTGAAATCGAAAGAGAAGAAAAAAAAAGTAGGTCAAATTGTGGGTATATTTATTGCTACAATCGTTAACGAATAAAAATCCTTCGTTATGAGCAACGGCATTCGGCAAATGATAGCAGAAAGAAGAGAGAGAAGAGAGAATGCCATACCAGTCAAGGAGTAATATATCTTTTTGAAGACCGCGCGCGTCAAGTATTCGGGGAACCAGCCCACGTGAGTTAAGAATAATAAGTATCCTTTTAATGCGAAAACTCCGAGGAGATACGGCCGACGACGTAAGGCCAGGCGGCGATATGTATTTTCGTCACACATTCCGATACACAACGGTGATTCGAGACAATTTTATCGGTCGGGTTTTTTCTTTTTCTAAAAAAAAAGAGAAGAAAAAAAGGATCGTCTAACCGTTCATACATACAACTCCTGCCGTGTATCTAAGTGGGAGAATCCACTTGTGTGTGTGTGTATGTAACTGGTAATTTAACAATCAAAAAACCGCTACCTGCAAAAATTGAAAAGTTGCGTTTTTTCCTCCGTACATTAGCGCTGCGCCGTTGCGCCGTCGTGCTTCACCGGCGGAGAATTAATAGACTACGAATCGTGTGTGTGTTTTTTAATCGTTTTTACATCGAAAGTATTCGGTATCGGTTACAGCCTAAAAATACTGAGCAAAGAACGAATACATCCAGCGATCCATGAACGATCTCGAAGCGCCATTCCCGTGAATTCACGATTCCTCTCTCCCTCTCTCTCTCCACCTTTCTTTTTCTCTCTCTACTGACAATGAGTAAAAGCAATGTAAAAAATCATTGTAAAATCTCGTCCTGCAGTTGGGGTGAGAACCTTTGCAGTTTTCTAGCCTCTTTAAGCGATTCGTGACAGAATCTAATGGCGAAAATAGAGACGTCGCGAGAGAATGAGAGATGAAGAAACGGGAGAAAGAGAGAAAAAGATCGATGATTTATACGCGTTTAGGAGCAGTAGCGACTCGAAATATTTCGTAAAAAATTTATATATATACATCTATATCTTCCTTTCTGTATGTGTATATATATATATATATATACATATATATATATATATATATATGTAGAAGTATATATTATTGCGTAGGCATTATGTCATCGGTGTTATTTTCTTCGTTTTCTCCTCGTCGCGCTTGCGCTCTTTCCACCGTTATACGATAGCAATAATAATAACAATAATAATAATCGTAATAAGAGCACTAATAATACTATAATAATAGTAATAAGAATAATTACAAGAATAACAATTATAAGGATATAAACTTTGATAAATTGCCTAATATCGCCAGCGCGACACGCTCTCGCTGTCGCGTTTTCTGTCTGTATGAAGGACTACTTTATACGGCGGCCGAAGAACCGAGAAATATCATTTCTTTATCGTGTTCCTGCTTAAATAGCTACGTGATAAAATACCGCGAAAGTTTCTCTTGCAAGTACCGTTTACTCTCAATACTGTGGTCTAACGTCGTCTATAAGCAAGAATAAAAAAGAAGATGCTCTCACAGTCGTCTTAATTAACCCTTAATTTAACTCGGAAATCGAAAATATGTCCACGCTCGAGAACTTTCTTTTTTTATGTAAAACTCTGCGGTGTGAACAGATTGTGATTGTAAAATGTCGCATTTCCATCTCACTTGACGCCGAAATGTCGGCGGGAAATCACGAATCGAAGGCTATCCGAACGTCCACACGATAAATTAGCGGAAATAAAGCGGTTTTTTTCTCAACGCGCTTGTAACGTTAATCGATCGCACGCATTTGCTGTAGGAATATTTACGTAATATAGTTAACGAGCTAAACGTTTCTTCTTCGGCAATCTAATCTCGAGACGAGACATCTCGTTCGCGTCTGTCCTTGATTTTTTTCGCGATTGTCGTCAGTCAAAGATTTTACTGCAATTCCATCGCGCGACATATTGTGTACTTTCAATGCGCTTCCTTCGCCTTTATCTCGTGTCCCTCTTATGTTATACAGCGCATAAGGTGTCTGTCTTAACGTGTAAATATATATAAATAATTATTTGTGTTCCAGTGAGTAAAATAATTGGCGTCTAATTGGCGAGATACGATATTACTTCTTTCATTCGCTGCTCTTCGACGCGTAAAAAATCGATCTAAGGGAACGAATATGTCGGATTGTTTGAACCGCTATTTCGAGGAAGTCGAAAGGGACGAATGCTCGATCGGAAGCCGAACGTTTGAAGAGCCTAAATCGCACGACGATTTTTAGCAAGCGATCGTTTAATTCGAATTAGAGCAGAATAAGAGCGACCTCCGCGCTGAGAAGATTGGCTTTTAGAGTACGTGTGATTGGAGGAAGCATATTTCATTTTGTAGTCTTAAAAAAAAATGCCGAATTTTTTTTCAATTTAATACCCAATCGTGCAACTTTACGAAATTCTTTTGTTAGACTGTTCTCGTAATTTATACATTTCCAGAAGTATTAATACAAGTAGACTTTTAATGTAATTCAGATTTAAATTAAATTTAAAAAATTACCTCGATGTACAGACAGCTTTTGTGTCGCACGACTCACCGTGTGTCGCTTCTTTTGATCCCTTTAATCTCAATGTAAATGAGTTACTAGTAAGTAAGATTACATCTTGTTATCTTCGGACCTCGATGCTCCCTTCAACAGCACGCGCCTTTAAATTGAATGTCGCTCGTTACGTTCTTAGCAATTCAGCTGCGAGATTTGACTTCGAGCCAAGCGTGGCTGCGATATCGATCGGATTAAGAACGAGATTTCCTACGGAGGGATAGAACGGCCTTGGTGTGTCGCGCCTCTCCGGTCGCTCTCGCGCGTCGCAGTTTCCCGTGTCTCGTCGATCGGGACTGGTTGATCCTCTCACGGCTTGATGTCATGGCTCCTAGCTAACAGGAGGACGGCCTCCCCCGCGCGTGTCTTCCCTTAACTACCGTGGTCCTGATCGAGCTCGTCCAGCGACTCGAGCCTCGCGATCGGCGCCTCGTTTATCGTGAACTCCCACGACATGTCCTCGCTGGTCTGCCTCGAGGAGTCCTGCTGCCGCGGCCCGCTCGCCTGTCCCCTACTGCTACCCTCGTGTCTGCTGTCCCCCGACCGACCCTGTTGCCCCGACGTCGACTCCGACGTGCCGCCGCGATGATTCGACGTGTCCTTGCGCGAGTCCCCGCTGCGCGGACGCTGGCCGCCTCGGCTGTCCTCCGGCACCACGCAGCTCCACGGATCCTCGCCCTCCGGCTCCGATCGCTTATTGAACGAGCTGTATCTGCCGCAAGGCACGCTTCTATCAACGGCGTGATAGCGGCGTTCTGTTTGGCGTCGAGCGCGGGCCACTAAACACGGACGTTCAACAATCGGCGTTCGTGTTTAGCAGCCGACGCTTAGCAGTGACGCGTTTCCCGAGCTTTTGCAACAAAGTTGGAGCAAGTAACAAGACCGAGCAGCTAATTTGAAACAGTGGAAACGCATCACTGCCAACGCAGTTCTGCCAATCTCCGATATACACGAGATAGATTAAAATCGCCCAGTCCAATCTCTAATATACAAGATAGATTAAAATCACCCGGGCCAATCTCCGATGTATGTATACACGAGACAGATTAAAATCGCGTCCAAGTTAAATTCTGACATACAAGATAGATTAAAATCGTTTTTGCTACTAGGTTTTTGCTAACGCGTTAGAAACCTCTATTTTCTTAATCAAAAACTACCTACCCACTCCGGTATTCGCCCCTCCTGAAAGCGGCGGGCTGGCTGTGCCAACCGGCGTGGGATGCCTGATGCGGCTGCTGCTGCGTGCTGGTCGGCACCGCCAGATCAACCGGCTGGCTCTGCGACCTCGTAGGCCCGGTCCGACCGTTCAACGCCGTCTGCAGCGCCGTGGCGAGCGCGGACGTGTCCGACGTGACGGTCAGCCGTGACGTTCCCGACGACGTGGAGATTGGATGATCCCTCATGGGAGGTCTGTTGCAGACGGGAGCGAAGCTCGTATCAGCGAATCGCCGGACGGAATCAGTTTTTTTTTTGTTCATGAGAAAACCGCTAAGGATAGCCGAGCGAGATATATATATATATATATATGTATATATATACTTGAAGCGTACGTGATTATGTACAGTGGGATTATTCGATCACAGGCCTCTAATCCTCTAAGTTTGATCCCGAGCAGTGTCACGGGCCCCCGCGCGCTTGGGACTATCGGCCGCGCAGTGGTATACCGACATATATGATACCATTCGCGTCGGCTGTAATCGATCGAGATTACGAGTGAAAAACGATCCATGAGAATGATCTATCTAAACGTGCATGAAAGATGATTCATCCTACCAAGATCGGTTCCGTCGACGTCAGTCAACTTCAAAATCAGAGCTCAATTGATTACTCCAAGAAAGATAAAGGGAGTTAAGATTGAAGTTAACTGAGTTTAACGAAATTGCTGAAGAAACTATTTCGATCAAATATATTTTCTTCGATAGGAGTAAAAAGATTAGTCGAGTTAATTAGAGACTAATTGAATGTGTGAAGAAAAATATACATATAAGATTAGACAGAAGAAAGAAATACGTGCAAATTAGAGGAAATATCTTCTAATGAAAGATTACTTTTATTTTAACGCAATGCTTCTTACTTTTCTAGATACTCTTTCTAAATACTGAACGGGCTATGTGATTAATAAGTGTCAAAGCTTTCGAGGCGTGCGACGTTAGAGATGATAATCTACAGAAAAAAGAAAGAGAGAGAGTGCTAAAAATATGATACTGTGATCCTAAGGATTACAGAATCCCAGACTAGCGGCACATCGCCTCTAGAAGAAAATCTAATTGCTTTAATTGCTTTGTACAAAATTGCAGTTATATTAACGCGATCCAATTGTTGATTTTTAGGCAAATTATGATTATGCTTGTGATTGGAAGGGAATTTTTAGAATCTTCGTGATGGATATCGCCGTGTTGGATAGAAAAATGACACAAATAAAAAAAATTAGCATTTTTATTTCCGACTGCTGCCAATCGAAGATTCGCCGAGATCGCGGATTGGTTGCAGATCAAAGATCTCCACAACTGCAATATATTTTTTCATCGATTTTTGACCACGGATTTCTTATTAAACTTTATTAAAAACTTATTAAAAAGTTTCATTTAAAGCTTATAATTATTAATTTTTCTGTTAATAAATGAAAGTATTTGTAAGCGACATAATTTTTTCAGGCAATAAAAAATATCGATCTTAAAGACTCTTTCAGAGTTAATTTCTTACATTAAACTTCCTTTAAAAAAATGTTAAAGTTTGATTCGTGTCATTTTTTTTTATCAACGCGGCGATAATTTTCTACTAACGCGCCGCATGCCGTTCGTTTGGACTCGATCTCCGTGACACTGCTCGCAAAGAGTTTCAAAGAAGAATACGTGATGGTGGTCACCTTCGGAACTTGTCCAACTTTTCCAAAATAAAAGACGCCGAAATCAAATGCAACTGATCCAGGGATTTCGAAAGAAGGCTTTTCAAGAATAACAGAATATCGATTACACTTCTTGCGTAGATCAGGTTTCAGAGTTTTCGCTACCGCGTCGCGGAACACATCGCAAACCCTCTCTACTGCAAGACCGTCGCTGTCGACGCAGCGACAAAAGTTCGCACGCGAAACTAGCTAACTAGCTCTTATGTCGAATCTCAACGCGCGAGAGAGAGGTGCGCGATCTGACTGATTAGAACGCGGAAACTTCAACGGGCCGGTATCTCGTTCAACCCTCGTTCTTACCTGAACAAGCCGTGCGACGTGCTGGGCTGGATCTTCCCGTTTCCGTTGCCCGCCGGGACCGTCGGTGGCTGCGGCTCGCTCGCCGATCTCTGGACCAACGCCGGCGCCCGGCTGCTGGTCGGCTGCCTCGCGCCGCCGACCGGCGCGGTTCCCGGCATCATCTCGATGCTCGAACTCTCCCTCGACGAGTTGAGCGTCTGCTGGAGCAGGCTCAGGATCAGCCTGATGTCGCCGGCCATCGAGTGCTCCAACGTGGACACCTGCCGCGACAGCTGATCGATCCTAGCGTTGATCTCCTCCACCGGCCGACCCGGGCCGCTCTGAAAGTCGCCTGGAAGGGGCAAACGTCACTTCATCTCGCGGCAACTCTCGATCTCGTTCGCGAGCAAGATAATAACAAATATATACACATCTCACATCACATCTCCCGACGGTGATCAACAGTGATTACCGATGATAAGCACAAGACTTTTCTTTCTCGATAATAGATACACGAATATGATAGCGCAAGGTGACGGAACTATACGTCGGCGTGTGTATATGTGTGTATGTGTGAGACGAGAGAAAGTGAGCAGAGGTCACGCGCGTAAATTACTGTGAGATTAAGAGAAATGGGTACCCTACCATGGGAATGAGGATGCTGCGGGGGCGATGGTGTGGTGTAGTGGCTCGACGTTGTCGAAGTGGGATGAACGACGTTTTGACTGAGGCAACTCTCGCCGGCGGCGGAACTCCGGCGCGCCGGTTTCGTCAGCGGCGTGGTCACTAGGTTTTATAAACACCACCGGTGAGTAATCACGGGAGAGGCTGCATTTAAATTTGGGTGCTACTTATCGCATACACAATGTGCAACCGCGCTGCGAGATGCTCTCTCTACTACTCGGCGTGCGTCGCGTCTCAAGAATTAAGATCCCAGATGAAACGACGGTCGTACGATGGGAGTCTCTTCGGGGGATTCTGGTGAGCGGTGCAGCGAAAGTTCGGCGAGTCGGGGGGGGGGAGGGGGGATGACTTTAGGTGCAACGAGTACGAGGGCTGATCTACTTCGGGGTGTTTCGGAATGTACGGGAGTACTTACTTTGTTTCGCGAGGTAATCGTGACTGGTAAGCGGCTGCAGATGAATCTTGTGCTGACGTAGATCCGGTATGCTGCGCTTGAGATGGGTTAGCATGCCTGAACAACCAGGTTTCAAGGTGTTAACGAACTTGGGACTCAAACAAAAAGCAATACGCTTAGAGAAGGAGAGAAAAGAGAGAGAGAGAGAGAGAGAGAGACGAGAGGAAAGAGGAAGTCACTGTAATAATGCTAAATAGATTGAAATAACTCATACATAATGAACTACATCGAGCCGGAGGCAAAATACATTATAGAAAGCCTACGAGAAAGATAAAACGCTTTTAACATTGTCACAAATTGTAAGCGGATCTAAATAGTTGAGCCCAAGATCCAATTTACGTGCGCATTTAACACTAAATGCGATAATCTAAATCTCCATCTTTAACCACTGAAATTTGCTTATTAATTAAATAAAATTCAAGATTAAGCTGAATTTAGCGCTAACGTTTGCAGCATTTGCGGATATATTTAGCGCTTAAATGCGAGACGTCAATGCGAGCGCAAAATGTTTGCGGTCAATCTTTTACAAGGGATCTGTTAGTTAATGAGCGAAAAATCGAAAACATCCGAAATGAAAAATCCTTGATAACTCGGTATTAAAAGGAAATACTCTGCTGTATAGAGGATAAAATATTGTCGTGCAATATATAACACATTCCTCAAACAGAATATTAGAAGCAAACACGAAAGAAATCGAAACAACGTTTCCTCGAAGCCGTCGAGGAGGCTGAAAAAAGGAAATAACAACTGCTCACCCGTTATCGAGTTTAAGGTCGAGCTTCTCTGTTTGGGCTCGTCGAATTCCAAATTCAACGGTGTCACGTCTTGACCCGCCTTGTCCGTGCTGAACTCTAAGATACCATGACCGCTACCTTTGTCGCTGCAACAGATAGAGAAGAAGCTGCTCGATCAATCTGTCGTCTCTAATAAACGTAACACGCCGTGCTTTCGTTCTTTTTTTCTCTAATATTCCTAAATCGTTTATCCATTAATCTAATTAGTGTCAAATATTGATCTTTCTATTAACGGTGGATCGAGAAAATTGATACGATGAAGGGAGGTGATCTTACTAGTCATCCTGGTCGTCCTGCAAGGAGTCTTGTCGACCTGTGGGAATAAGATTTGTGCCAGGACCAGCACTGGGTCCCCGACGGTATCTTGGTGGACGGAAAGCGAACCTCCTGGCGTCGACATCGACGTCGGTCGGAGTACTGACAGGAAACCTTGCTGATATTGGATCGACACCAGCCTGCTCCTCCTAAAGATGAATTAGCGGTCAGGTTGGATCGTATTCAACGATCAAGTTGGTCGTATTTCAGGCTGGTGCGAATGTAAACTGCCACATGCAGTTAATTTAAGTAATCAATATTCAGGATAAGAGGCCAAAGACGAGCGAAATACAGGTGTCAGTTAATATTTAATATTACTATGTGATTTTACATACATATTCTAGCTTCAACAAACTGCGTGCCGTTACTTTCGGATTTAACGCAGTTTTGATTGAAACAGAACCGTATTATCACGTTATTAATTTAATAAGTACTGATGCTCACTTGCATCTAATAAATCTCGCCCCCCCCCTCCCCCTCACGACGCCAAATAAATGCTAAGAGTAGATCTTATAGATGCAAGTTAACATTTATTTGGTATCGCGAGGGAGAGGAGGATTTATTAGATGCAAGTGAGCATCAATATTTATTAAATTAATAACGTGATAATACGGTTCTGTTTCAATCAAAGCTGCGTTGAATCCAAAAATAACGGCGCGCAGTTCAAAGTTAGAATATGTATGTAAAATCAGTAATATTGAATATTAACTGACACGTGTATTTCGTTCGTCTTTGGCCTCTTATCCTGACTGTTGTTTACAATAATAACGAGCTGGTAAGTTATTTATTAATTTAAGTAATATTTATGAAGCGGAAATTTAATTAAAATAAAAAATATCAAAATCCAATGTAATGTAAATATAAGAATGTTCCTCTCTATAAATTTTTTCACGAGTAACATTAAATTTGGAGCAAAAGAGAAGAACGGAATTATATTGAATCGTACACGGAGAGAATTTTATTTTAAAATTTACCCTGAAAATCATGTTAATCGTAGGACATTTTATTTCGACGAATTTTATGTGATTATCACTATTTTTTTTAAATATATACTACAACAAATTTATTGTAGTGCACATTAAAATTTGTCGAAATACCATGTTGTCCCACAATTAGCATAATTTTCAGGGTAAATTTTAAAAGAAAATTCTCCGTTTAAAATCGCGCGTGGAAAAAGACGGGAATAAGCACTCACATCTCGCATGTTAAAAGTAATCTCGAGATTCTGGCTGAAGTGATTGTAGAATTCTGGATAGAGTGCCAAGACGTCGAGCAGGTCGTCCCGATGGATCTTGTGAAGGTCGCAATACGTAAGGGCGCGAACGTTACACGACGACTTTCCGACCGTTGGATAAATGCACGGATTCTCGCCGAATATGTCGTCCTTGCCCAAAATGGCCATCACGATGTCGTCCTTAAGGATCTCGATACTTCCGCGGGATATAAAATACAGGGAAGTCAGCACGTCCCCTCGATGGACTAAAGTGTCACCCGGTGGCGCGTGCGTCGTCTTAAACTTTAAGGATAATGCCCTGTTTCGCAAGAGAAACAAAAAGGCTTTCTTGTATCATCATGAATTGATTATGTGTAAAAGACAATTACATCTCTCTATTTGCAAAAAACAATAAAAACAATAAAATATTGTTTCGAGTTTAAAAATAATGCCCTGATAAAAAAAATTCTCATAATATCTTATAATATTTTTAAGAATTTTTCACATCTTTTAATGAAGATTTCTGAAAAATAACTTAAACTTCTTTTTATAAGTTTTCTTCGGAAATTATATAGAAATCTTAGAACGTTCATGTACATAAAAAATTCTAGAAAAAACATAAGATTCTCTTAGTATTTCTGAAAAGTGTTTCAATTCGTATAAAAGATTCGAGAAATTTTCTAAAAAGTTACACAAACATACAAAAATAAAAATATTCTCAAGATCCAATCAGATTTTCAGAGCAAATTAAGGGCTAAGTACCTTAAACAGCCTGGACTGGCCCCCTCGAAGGCTCGGCAATTGTTTAAAAGATTCCTATTGAGATGAAGACAGATGTCGGCCTGAAGGCACTCGGGGAACCCTTTCAGAACGCTGTTCATATCAATCCCGTTCGTATAGGTCCACGCGTGTTGAAAGTACTCCTCCAGTCGCTGGCGGAGCGGATTCGGGATCTGATGGAACCTTATGAATTCCCGGACCCTGAGCATCTGCGTGTGATACCGGGCGGTGCCGCTGTATAGCCTCTGGATGATCGCCGATACGTTACCGAAGATACTGGCGTACATCAGGGCTAAAATCGATGTATCTCGTGAAATAAGCCGCAAACCCGATATTTAACGACGGATTTCAATTCCAGACACAAATCAATTTTGATTAAAAGCGATCATTTAATCAAGATGCCATCAAAATTTGAAAGTCTATTTAAAAAATATCTGATATTTTATTTTTATTTTACTATTTTATTTTTGCCATAAAGTGTTTATTGTGCTTATATTTTATCTATTTTTACTATAATTTAATTAGTATACACTAGTTATATTTCTGTTATTAATAATATTATTATTATTATATTAATATTATAAATATATTAATAATTATTATTAATTATATATATGTTTAATAATATAATTTTTATAATTTAATTTAAAAAGTTTAAACGCGCGTGTGCATGTAAATAACAGAGATCTGTCATTGTTTATCGACTCACATCCGATCAGCATGACGATTATTGTAAAGATTTTCTCGGCGTCGGTATTCGGCGCCACGTTTCCGAAGCCTACGGACGTGAGACTGCTGAAGGTGAAATATAGTGCCGTGATATAACGACTCTGGAAAAATTACAAGTGTTACAACATTGGGCAAAAAGGTCTCGCGCGTATATCGCCATCAAGGAGAGTGCGATCTCAAATGGAGCGTACTCGAGACATAGTACTCGCGCGAATGGCTTACTTTTATGCTTGGCCCGCCGGTGTTATTGTGAAAGTAAAACTGATGCGTATCGTTGGCTAGAATGTCGAGCCAACCAACCTTGCTCTTCAGGGTCGGTCTCTCGGCGTTTCCTATGGCGTACCTTTAAAAAATGCGAAATACCAGAGGTAACGCATCGTATTCAGAGCATTGTCTGTACAAAATGTACGTATGTAACTCCAATTACAAAATTTTCGACCAATTAAAAGTTTATAATAGAACGAGATGGATCTCCCTAGTTTTTGCTGATTTACACGATGCTTTTTTTAGCAACTAGCATGTTGGTATTTTAGATAACTAGAAAATTAATAGCTAAAAAAAGAATAAATTGTATTTATTTGGAGAAAGCCAGCAGCTAAAAAAATATAATTTATAGAATTGTTAACTTTCGCCAGTAAACATATTTTATTTATTTTTTTTATAAAATTATATTTTTTAAATTAAGGTTTTTTAATTTATAGAATTATGTATTTTTTTAGCTGCTAGTTTTCTAATAAAAAGGCAGCATTATGTAAATCAAGTCTAAGAAAAAGTAACTTCAACTCGATTAAGGAAGTTACATGACTGAAGAAATAGCTATGATATTACTTGGCGCGTTTCGCGAATTAAAGACGTTGTATTTTCGAGGTACTTCCAAAGATATGTGGACGGTATCACTCACCATATACACGCCATCCAATGAGCAATAAGGGCAAAAGTGGCCATTAAGAGTAACAAAACGGCAGCGCCGTATTCGCTGTATCTGTCGATCTTCCTGGCCACCCTGACAAGGCGCAGCAGACGGGCCGTCTTCAAAAGTCCGATCAAGGTCGTCGTCTGAAAATGATCGATCATTTTTTTTCTCTATCTTCCGACTCTGCGAACCCGCGGAACATCAATCTCGTTGTACAGAAATCGGCCTTACTCAACGCCGTCCGCTTACTGCTCAAATGACTTTGATGAAATGATGTCTTTTATTGTTTTGTGAATCTTCATGAAATTGCTCATGCAAAGATATGAAACGTGCCTTTGCAGCAAAAAAGGCGTGTCTACATAAATAACATTTATATAAAACGAATATTTCGAGGATCTTCAAAATTCTTTTTTTTTTGTTTGTTTGTTTTTCTTTATAAAGATGTTATTACTTTCACGGTAGAAACCGTAAGATTTGCGGCAAATATAGATCTGTCATTTCGAAGCATTAAGCGCGCTTCAATACGAACGTTTATCTGCAGCGGACGTTTATCTGAAACCTAATCATCCGACGTTCGCGTAAAGGCCATTTCCGTGTTGGAAGTGTTACTCGCGCCGGAAGTCGTCACTCCGGTTGCACATCAATCCGCTGAAAACACTCGGAGAACGCGTCGCGTAGCTCGCCGGAATATCACGACACGATACGCGCGCGTGACATTTCGTCGCGTGCCAAATACCAAAGTTGAAGTCTTGTCGTCTTCGCGGCGTGTGCCACTCCTTGGCGCCAATCCTAGCCGCTGCGGGTCCGCGTTCAAGAAACAATCTTTCAACGACTTGCAACGAATTGGAATTAATTCCGCGATATTATTAAGTAAGGCATCGCGTTTTCGATTTTGAGCTTTGCCTCACTAAAGTGACGACCTCCTTGTTGCGGAGTTGGCTTGTCGCAAGTAAGCTCGAGTTTCGATTCGAGTCACTTACGACTCTTTTGTTTCAAATCTACATAGCTCCAAGAAATAGACAGAGATGACTTTTATAAAATATATTATACTGCAGTGCGAGCACTCTTTACGTAGCTAACTTTGAATAAAACGTGATATAATAATTACAAATCGGCCGGGCAGGCACAAAGGCTGAAATAAAAAGAAAAAGCTATACTCATTGAAATAAGATATAAGGCGTGGTCCACTTACGCTACAAATGCTTCGAAACATTCGACTGACTAGTCAGAAGAAAGAATTTAATAATTGACCAATCAAAGAAGGCTTCAAAACATTTTTTGTAGCATTTGCAGCTGGACCGTAAATCTGCGATTGCATCGGCTTCGAAAATATTGTCTGGGCGTGATTCATGCCTCCTCTTCGTTCTTACCTGCCGAGAGTTTGAAAACTCTCGGTTAAAAAAAAAAGCACTTCTAAGCATGCAAACAGCAGCAGGTGCAGGTCTATTCAAAGGTCGAACGCTTTCAAAGTGAAAGAGATCGAGCCTGATGTTTTTACGAGTATCATGCAAAACTTGTGTTCCAAATTGTGTCGAAACAATTTGATCAATGTCATATATATTTCGTGTGCGTTTGAAGCGAGACTTTTGAAGGCGATATAATAATTTGAGACGAGGAGAAGTATAATTTTTCGAACAAGTGAAGCCGCTTGATACACACGGACTCACGTTTATGGCTAGATAGAACAAAGCGCATAAGCGATAGAGAACACGCGCATAACCGCACATGTACAAACGTTCCTAAGCGTATGACAATTGAAGGAGCAGGTGTACGAAGAGGATAAATAGGAAAGTCAGTCCATAAATCTATGAAGAAAAATCCGATATAAAGATTTTTATTAAAAGGAATTTGAAATGGAGGACAGTCGATTTATGGATAAAGTCGACTTTTGTGAGAAACGAATAAAGAGATATTAGATTCTACTTTTTTTATTCGTTCGTGCTCTTTCAATCGCCACAAATATGGAACGTAAAATTCCGTCAAGCGCAAGGACGAACACGCACACACAAACACACATACACGCACGCACACATGTTAATCGGAAAAAAATCCGCCGGTCAGAAAACCTTTCTTTTCTTTTTTTTTCGAGTATAATCACGATTTTGTACAGCTTGCAACAGAGACGTAAAAAAAAGATACAAAAGAAGCTCGAGAAACAGAATGGTAGGACCAACATAGTATTGGAACAGAAATCGAGAGAAGAAATAGCTCAAGCGTATACGCGTAGTTGCTGACGAAATCGCGATGAGATATTTTCAATCAAAGTGTTCTCATCATGTGTTACTATTGGTTGCTATTCACGATTGATAATACCGCATCCGCTCGTGTATCAGTTTCGGATTGCGCGTGTTGTGTACGTGTTTATATTTGTATGTGATTTGTGTGCAATCAATTCATATTCTATGAAATTTCATTTCAATCCCCAATTGTGGTTCGATTTATTCTGTCACTTGTGAAAACGCTCTTGATTAAAAACCCTTCCCTTCGAAATCCATCAATATTTCATGACACCGTGATTAATAAAAACAGCGCTCAGGTACATGTGCGTATTGTTCAAGATTGATGACTTAACGAAAGCGTGTGTATGTATGTGATCTCGTGTGTGATGCTCATATGCTTGCCTGTGTATTCGACAAAAAAGCAGTTTTACGAAATATGATCGAGGATAAGCCAATCATATATTCGTTCTGCAACCCTAAAAAGGGGTCAAGTCGCGCGATACTCGAGCGAGTAAAACAAGCTTGATGTCATTTCGTTTGCTAGAAATCAAATTTGACAAGCTGGATGCAAAAAAAAAATAAAAATCATAAATTAGGTAGATACTCGTCGCATATTCTTAATCGTGCGATCAATATAGATGTGATTCGAAGTTTCGTATATCTGGTAAGAAAGTGTCTAATAAAGAGGTAATAGAGCCAACTATATAATTCTCACCGGATATTGATAGCACGAATTGTACATATACTATTTTTGTTCCACACGATAAATCAATGATGCTCAACTATCGGCGGTAAAAATTTTCGATTGTTGAAATTCAAATTTTTTCCGCTGCAACTGAAAGCTAAACGCGCATCTGCGCCAATACGTGAGGAATCGGAGTTCCGTCATTTACATAACTGAATATTAATCCATTCTTTTACGTTCAATATTATGTAAATTTCGTGAATCTGCATTGGCGCGGACGTGCCATCCACTTGTCAGTTGTAAAATTCAGATTCTAATAATTATTCCTGTAGCACGCAATTTGCGGAAACGGACCGGATTTTGCGAGGAGAGACGCAAACGTATACAAGCCGCAATGCGCTTTGTATAAACGGCGTTAAACTTTACTCCAAATCTTGCACGGATTAACCGAAAGCGAGTCATTATAAGTTCATACAGTAGTTGAACTCTAGAGAGAAAAAAAATGGAAAAAGAAACATGCACTTTAGTTTAATTTTAGTAATATCGTACATGTGAGAATAGAGTTGATGAAAACCCTGCCTTCTCGCGTTCTATTGTATCCCGTTGCAAACTGCAGAAAGTGAGAATTCTCTTATCGAAGGGAAACCCCCCCGAGCAACGATTTGCCATCAACTTTATTCAAACTTCCTCGGCAGATATAAGATGAGGTTGCAGTGATCGAGTGAGATGTTTTGGTACGTGTGGTGAGTCGCGTGAAGGCTCTTGATCGCCGAGATGGTATCGCCGAGAGGGGGATGGTTGATATTGCAAGAGAGAGAGAGAAAGAGACGGTGCTGAAAGTATTTAAGATGTGTAATATGTGTTAAAGCGGTTCGTACATGAGAGAAAGAGAAAAAGAGGGGGGGGGAGTGGGGAGAGAGAGAGAGAGAGAAATACAGAAAGAAGAAGTTAGTAGAGAGAAAAATCGTGATTGCGGTGGTGATCTTAATCGTTTGGTGTGTGAAAACGGTGTGGAATTGTAAATTTCTCATTAAGTAATATAACGAAAGAAAAGACACGATCAGTGAGGATCTCTTGTGTATATTATGTGTCAACTAACCTCGTCCTTGTCCAAGCCGAGCTACGGAAACGTTAAACTGAGGTTAAAATTCGTTCACATCATGAGGATGATTTTTATAATTTCACTTTTCCAGAGATCGTTATGATTGAGCGTTCGCTTAAAGTAAGGAATAAGAAAATTCGTAGACGCATTCTAGACCTCGTTTCACTTTTACGAGACAAATCGCCGAGATGGATGACTTCATTAATTACGTTCGTTACGGAAAACTAGCCGAACGGGGGAGGGGGATGCAAATGATATTCTGGTCTCTCTTACGGGTGCGCGCGAGTAAAATAAATTAATTACAGGAAGGGTTAATTACGTTCACCGTTTCTTTATCCCCTGTATAGGGATATACCTTCGTTAGCCACCGGTATCGTTCACACAAATCGAGAAGAGAGAGAAAGAGAGAGAGAGAAAGAGCTAGAGAGATAAATAAAGATATCTCGTAAGAGAAATTTCATAAAGATAACTCATGAGAGAAAATTAAAAAAAAAAAACTCATTTCAAAAAACGAAACAAATTAAAAAAAAAGAAACACGACGAAAGGAAAAAAATAGAAAAGAATATTGACGAAAACCTGATATATATGTATAGTCTAGTACTTTGACAGTCAGAGCAGAAATTTTCACAGCGACAAACTATATATTTACTCACATATTTATGAAGAGTGTATGCATACGTGTGCGTACAGGTACGAGTTAGGTCGGGGTATCGTTCGCGAGATAAAGGGATATTGTTATTTCACCTACAAGTCAAGTTACACACATGTCGGATCGCGCAGTACGTAACTTCGTGACTGACATAATTGGCACTAAACGTCACGTAGTTACTTAGTTGGAGTAAGTTCAGCCGTAATTCTGTCAAGGCTGAATCTGGAAACGGTGGAAATGGAAAATCGGGGCCACGCTTGTCGCGAGACGGTCGGTTGATTCACGACGCACGTGTAGCACACGTTTTAAACGTTGTGTAAAATCGTTCCGGGACAGCGAGAGAAGAACTGGCCATTAGAACGTGGCGTCTCTCGCTCGCCCCGTATACGTATACATTGTGTGCACATTAACACGACGACTCGACTAAACTCTCGACAAAAGGAAAAACGAAATCATTCAACACCGAGAGAAATGGTCGAAAATAGGGAGAAACGAACTAAGCACCAGTCCGGTAAAAAGTCACATCTATGGGCACGTAACTTGGGCTCGGCATGTCATCCTAATCATATTTACCAGCTAACACCGACATTCTAGAAAATTCTGTCTGACGATCTGACATTCGCGAGAGTCGGATTTTCACTTTCCAAGATTACTTTCGTTATTTCAGTTTCGATGCATCTGAATTTAAGAATTTTTAAATTCATGATATGCGACCTATTAAAAACAAATATCAAATATATATACATACATATATATATATATATATATATATTAAATATAATAATTTCTGTAACTTCAAAGAATTCGATGGCTTCGGTATCATTAGGATAAGATGTAGTCCCTCGAACGCCAGATCCGACTTGAAAGAAAGATAATCTAAGGATAATGCAAAGCGTGCGACGGGACTTACCTCGTCAGTGTCCGATCCGACGAGTAGGAGGTCGAAGGGGATGGCAGCTACCAAGTCGATGATGAACCAACCCTTCAGGTAATGGACGGCTATCTTTCCAGGATGGGAGACCACCTCATCGTTGCTGTTGACGAACGTCGTGCGAAAATTTATAATGATGTCCACGATGAATGTGACGTCGACTGAAAGATAAGAATGCATTACTGTATTCTAAAGGAATCGATAACTTTCTAATAATACTTTCCATGATTATCGGATGTAAACTATTAAATTTCTCGTTGTATCAAAGTAGATCGTCGTTAACCCCCTAGCGAGTGTTGCGTAATTGCAACGTTAAAAAACGTTTTAACGTGAACGATTTAAAATAAAATTCAGGATAAATTCGGGAAAAAAATTTGAGATCTGTGCAGATTAGTTATATTTAATTAGTTAGATACATTTAAGAACTAAAGATGGAAATGTATGTATAGCATTAAATATTAAAAAAGAGTGCTTGTTAACCGCCAAAAAGACATCAATTGATATTTCGATAGATTATTCACTTACAAAATATTTTTTAGCAAAATCAGTAAAAAAAATTATTTTTTTTTTACGACAAGACGATGCCACCTCTAGAGAGTTAATCTTAATTTTATTTCTGCATCCCGGTAATGTTGAATATAATATCGGGTACAGTTGTATTCACCAAAGTTTCAACGAAAATCGATTTTTGAAGCAAAATAACGATAGCATCTCCAGAACACTATTCGTTTGAACATTTTTCCGATTTCTTCTCTGTTCATTCTATTCCTATACTATTGTCTCTTTATCCGTTCTATTGTTTCAGACAGTCGTGACACGTATTATCCTATATTGTATGAAACGTTATACAATGCTGCTCGATATCAAATTGAAAACTTAATACTCTAAGAGCCAGTTTTATCGTATAATGTTAGATAACTCTGTAATATCTTACGTATTTCTGTTATAGAATTTCATTCGAAAATGGCGACCACTGAACCATCTAATTATTAATATTAATCGATATAAAAACTATTATTATCGCTACTATCATAATTATACTTGTAATAATTAACCTTCTTTACTTTACTTATTTCTATAATAAAATTTCATTCTAATCTTGAAAAGTTAAGCCATGACAACTATTAAACTAACTATTAAAATTAACAATCATAAAAATTATTACCACTACTATCATAATTGCACTTGTAATCAACGTTCTAATTGTTAATCACAGTTTTGCGCTAGAAATATAAATAAAAAAAAATAAACTTTGGTAAAGTAGTAAACTGTATTGACTCACCTATGAAGTCTATAATAACGATGGGGTCATCACTGTACTTCTTATTCTTTCTGCTGTTGTAATCCGGATCCGATAGAACAAACGCGGCGACGTACGGCGTAAATATGGCGGTGTACATCACGAGCAGCAATATAATCCAATCCCAGACCGCTTTAAACGGCGAGTAGTGCAGTATGGTCCACTTATGGATTCTGGGGGACTGTAATTTGTACTCCGGGAGGACGTCTGCTCCGAGGGACAGCACCTGCACAGGCGATATTGAAGCTTTGAAATAGATCCGCTTCAACTCTACTTTTCTTTTTCAATATTTTTTCGCTTTAAATCGTTCACATAAAGTAAAATACTGTCCGGCAAAAAGGAGATCTCTTGTATTATATTTTAATAACGCGATCCGAACAGAGCGTTTTATGTATCATATATAGAAAAAATGTATAGAAAAAAGTCAGTTTCAGAGAGATAAAGGGAAATTTTCCATTAATACGCCGTTTTTACACCTCGCGGCGAAACGTTCCGGCAACATTATCAAAACATTGTTACGGTGATGTACGATACCAGCTCGCTGCATTGTTCGCGCTAAATTGCATCGCGAGTGAAACACCCTTAGAGAGCGCCGCGCGTGGAGCGTGATGTATGTTTCACATCCCTTACAAGAGATACACGGGAGAAGGGCGCGAAAGCGATTACGAGCGATATAATTTGCTGACCTGTCTAGCGTAGGAAGTGTTTCGAGTTACTTATTTGACTTTCTGCCATTTAAGAAGCGCGCGCGATTCACTGGCAAAAACGATCGGCGAGGACATAAATCAACGGACACAGGAGCCGCGAGATCTTTCTTCTCCCCTCCCCCCCCCCTCCCGGCCTCCCTCGAGGGAATAGTTTATACTAAAACTTCCCGTACATCCATTTCGTTAACCCGATCCGGCCGGTGGATGAAAGTAGATCTTCCGAATCACGCTGCTCCACATTTCCGAGTGCATCGCCACCGAAACAGCTGGTGCGTGAACTCTCCCCCGTCGAGCTGCTACTGTTTCTCCCGGGCTACCCGCCTGATGTTTGAGGGGGTGTTCGCGGGAGGGATTACCCGTCACAAGATTGCCCGGCGAGCGGGCTTCAAACACCTGGCTTCGTGCTCGAGTGGGAGCTTAACCACTTAGTCGTTTAGTCGTAATCCGCGCAATTCCTTCGAGAAGCTTAGTGCTTCGATTCCGTAATAATACCGAACAACAACAAGCCACGATATTAGATCGTTGAAGCAATCGCGGCCGCGATTCGCGCGTGGTTGTTCACCGGACGCACATACACAACACCGGAAGACACATCGGAAACGTCAGTATCCCTCTCGGGAGCGATCGCTCTCGATTATCGAGTGGAGAAACTTTCGAGCTTGCGAGCGGGAAACTTCGCGGATTCGGCGTCGCCGCGAAATGAAAAGCGGATCGGCAGCTCCACTCCGGAGCTCTCCCGAAATATTTCGAGTTATCGATCCCTCAGGGCAACGCTCAGCGAGAATCGGGGACGCTTGTTTACAGCGCGCGAGAACGTGAGAAGAACCGGAAGAGCGCCGTTCGAGCGCTAGTTTAACACTGATGCAATGCGGCTCGACGAAGGGAGGCGTTCGTTCGATTGGCTCAGGGGCTGGCTGGCTGGCTATCCCGCTCGCGCTAGAAGCGGCATGCGGGTTAGGGTAGCACCGCCGTCACACCCTTAGCTAGCATATTTTCGGTCCGATCAAGTGTTTCGGGGGAGGCACAACACACTGAGCCGCGCCGAGAGCCTAGTCGAGAAATTAGCTCCGGAGCTCGATAACGATAACCCGCGCCCGAGAGGCTCGTAACATGAACTGACGATCCTATATCCCCGGGCAAAGTCGCAGTTCGCTCCCTCTTTCTTTCGACCCCCTGTGCGTCGATTTATTATTATCAACCCCCCCGCCGATAAGCGACCGATAAGCGGATAAAAATGGAAAATGGGATATTGCTGATGCGGATGCCAACATCATTATTCATCACGTACCTCATGTGTGGTCCCGAGTATTTACTAACTACACTGTGTGTGTTCCACACTTCCGTATATTCGAATTAATAAGCTTTGAATCGCGTAATCTATAAATTCATTCTATAAATTCTTCTTCTGTAAATTCATTATTTTAATTGTCCCATTTCTAAATAATAATGTTGTATTTTTTTTTAATTCAATACATATTTTTCTAGATTAAGAAATTGGCTTCTTTTGTTGATCAGTGCGCGATTGTCATCGAAATTTGATCTGGGACGACACGGCACGATTGTTACTTACATCCTGATCGGATTTATCGGATGTCCAATATTCAGTAATGGAGTTGGAGATAAGTCCATCCCGCTAAAAATGTTTTTAAAGAGAAAAGACTCAGGGTAGTTCGCTAGTTTCTTCCTTAGCTTCTTTATCGATTTTTTATTATCAGCTTCCATCTGGCGGAAAGCGTGTAGTCAGACGGGTCAGGGGGAAGGGTTAGAAACTCGCTGGTTGGCTCGTCAGAGACAGCCGCGAGGATGTAAATTCAGGTAGGTCATGTTTTATTCATGCGCGCCCGATGTTAGGTGAGAAGGATCGCGAGGGGCGACCTCATTCCAATGACCCGGAGTTATTGCAATAGTTTGTGCCGTCCTTTACAAACTACAAGGCATCTTTTTCTGCCTTCAGCTAAACAGATTTCGAAAACACATGCTGTCCGGATTAACAAATTATACTGCATCGTAAAAACATCAATCTTTTTCTTTAAAATTAACGCTTCCTTTTTGTTTAGCTTTGCATTTTTCTTTCTTTGAATCTTGCCAATTATCTTCTCTAAATATTGGGACAAGCTCCTATACAAATACTCCTATACGAAGTTAAATGAGTAATTTATCTCTAATATTAAGCGAAAATTAAAAATCAGAAAAAGATATTGCAGCGTGATAATTGCAACATCATCGTGGTGAGTCATTAATTTATGCGAATATTGCTTGTGCAGAATTTCTCTTCAGTTTAAGACATCTCATTTGAATATAATGGAGATGGAGCATCAATTTTCTCTTTAAAATTCCTTTTTATTTTTGTATTTTTTTTTCCTCGAATTTGGTCAATTATCTTCTCTAAATATCGGAATAAGTTCCAAATACTAAATTAAACGGGTAATTTATCTCTTAATTTAAGAGAAATTAAGAGATAATTAAATTACCGTTAAGAGAAAAATTAAGCGAAATTTAAGAGTTTCGAAGCTTTTAGCGTAATAACTGCAAACCAACTTCATCGTGGTGAGCTATTAATTTATGCGGATAATGTTTGGGTGGAATTTCTCTTCTCGACGTAAGACGCTTCATTTCGATGTAATGGAGATGAAGTAATTGAATATACGAAAGAGGATGGGGCGGATAGTATTAGCTAGTTACCACGCGCCATGACCTGGAATTATTGAATAAGTACCGCGTTACGTGATCATAATCTACCAGCGTTCAACGAACCAAGTAAAATAGCGCGATAATAAGTCGTGCGAAAAATATTACGAGCGTGATGGCAAAAAATTGATATTCTTTCAAAAATTCTTAAAGTCCAAACTGTTGCATCGCGGTCGAGATTCGCGAAGATCTTCGATGAATCGTGAAATCGATGAGAAATCGAAGAAGTGTTTTCTTTGTGCGATGCCGAAATATCGTGTGGACGAAAAAGACGGGGGTGTGCACAACTTCGAAGTACTTCTACCAAAAGTCACATAATAGCCGTTTACGATAGGCAATTCGCGACTACGCATTCCTTCCTTTACGACACGATATAGCCCGACTCCCCCGCGGCCGCGGATTTAATATTTGCAGACTCACGGCGGAGCCATTTCCCGCGTAAATATGTACCCGACGCGTACAAGTAGAATATGTATTTGCAACTTCTGTATGGCGATAAGAACGTTTTTAAAGCAGCCACTGGCTGCTTTAATCCCTCCCTCCGTCCACGAAGCTCGAAAATACTCTTTTGAGTCACGTAAATAACGGACCTGCCTCGCGTAGCAAATATAGCGTCGCGGAGTAGTAAAATAGAAGATTTAGGCGTCGCATTTAAAATCACCTTTAGCGAACGGGAATAAAGCACGACAGAAGTTACTCATCGTGCTAATTTTACACCGAGCGTATTCGCGAAATATGATGACGTTCCACGTAAGTGTTCCGGTGAGTCACACTAAAATTAGGCGGGAATTTATCCCGAACTAATTTGATCGTGCGCGAACCCGGGACAATGACGTTTCCCATATGGACATTCCGTCCGCGCGCAATTGACCGCGTATTTTCGCAACGCGGGCGACGCGTCGCGTCGCGCCTCGAGACGTTGCCTGTACCTTGAAAAGGAGGTCGACGTCGCGGCGACAGCGCGGAGTTATAATCCGTTTTAACGGGAAGAAAGCTCCTGTCAAAGCTCCTGTTGGCGCTCTTCGAGATGTACGGCCTCGGTAATGCATAACGGGTCAGCCCGATGAATGCGTCCCTGTCGGATTTGCACGTCGACGGGACTACGCAATATTGCGATCGATACGCCGCGCGGAATGTACGCGCCATTCCACCGCAAATTGGACGAGCACGCTCGTCGCTTGATAGCCCAGATAAACGTGAATAAACAATGTGACTAGATTAAGATGATATGTGAGAGAGAGGAGCATAGTTATCGCAAGAATAAACTCGAGGAAGCACTAATTGCGCAGCTTAAAAAATAATCTTATTAGCATCGCAATATATATTTTAAACAATAATAATTAAATAGATATTTAAATATAGAATAATAATTAAATATAAATGTTAAAAGTTAAAAAATTTAAATAATCATAAGTATGTGGTAAGTAATAATTACGGTGAGTAATTAAATTTCGCTGAGATAATAATAATTAATTTTGATTAGACAAATAGAAAAATGTATAAGACTGACCTGAAATACGTTTACGGTCTTATGTAACTTGACAATAAATTCGTGTAGAAGGTAAACAGCGCGTTTCTAATTCTATTAAGAGGATGCTAAACCCTAGATCAAACTCTAAAAATCCGCTGTTTTACCGACAATTTGTGAGTATGTATGCGTGCGATATTGATGTAGTAGTGTGTAGTGATGTGTCATGTTTATTACCACATCAATATATCTAACGCATACATATACACGAATTTGTAGGATACAAATGTACTTTTATTTAGACTTCTAAATTTGATTTTAACGACTCACCTATATTCATTTCTTTATTGTACATCTGGCTCTGCCTTCATTTCGAGCGTATA